GTCTAATGAAGGAAATGAAACATGGGATTATGATGCATGCCCCCCACACCTTTTGTTTTCTCTCTTCTTAAGCCTTAAGTGAAACTGCCTGTGAACCTCAGCTCTCGGGCTGAGGGAGCACCCTCACGCTGGGCCCTTGGAATGAATGACTCATGCGCTCTGCAGGCCTGCAGGACTGAATCACTGGGTTTCTGTGTACCAGGAAGAGGAGGTCATATGAAAAGAGAAGCCTTGTTCTGCCAAACGGATCTGAGATAAGGATGGAGATGTTGACCTAATGGGTCAAACAATTGCGTCTCTGATAAAAATTTTAAAGCCGCAGGAAAACTTATGTCTTTGGGTGTGTTTGACTTTAATTACTTCTTTAATTGAAATCTGGCACCACATGCGTAAGTACAAACATGCTGCTGCAGAAGCTGCCCTTTCTTGCCATGCCCTCCAGATAGGTCTGTATGCTTTGCTAGGTGATGCTTCCATCTCCCGCCTTGCCCGAGGAGTTCAGCGCTCTTGGATTCACGCCAAGAGAGACTCAAATCACCTTCCTTTTAAATAGACTCTGAATTTGAGGAACAAAGAAGTCTATGGAGAGGCAAGATCAGAGTTGTACGGTGGATGGGGTAAGGTTTCCCAACACAATTCTTCGAGGACAGCCCTTGCTACCCTTGAAGGAAAAGCAGGCACATTGCTGGATTAGGGAAACAAATTCTGGGGCTTTTCCGCCTTTTTCTTACCAATCCAGTTTTCTCCTTTCAAAGACGCTTCTGATGTTGCCCTGTGGCCTTCAAGAATATTGATCAGGATGAACCCTTGGGAATCCTCCAAAACAACTGTCATAACTTTGTGAGCCGGCCTCTCTGTTTTGAATTAAACTGGCCCAGTGTCTCTTCAAAAGCCACTGTTTTAATTGGACCTTGCCATCTGGCTCATCTTGATAGACCCAAGACTCAGCCCTGGTTACATGCAGTTCATGTCATTCGCTTTGATCCGAGCTCATCGGGCTAGCTCATTTTGGCCACAGTGCTTTTGGCACTCATAGAGCCAAAGCTTGCTGAGGCCACGATGGCCCCTTAAAATTAATATTGTCAAGTGTGAGTTGTTGTAGGGCAAAAGAGACCCCTATCTCAGACATAGCTTAAGGAGAACATTTATTAAATCTTAAAGGGGACTAAGACAAGACAAAGACGTAGACACATTATCAAGAAAAGGGAGACCATTAGCACCAAGCCCAAATGGTGATTAAAGATTCACAGGATGCCAGTTAAATAATGCTTGGAAAGAAGGGCATCGTCACACATTCATGACTCGTGGCGGATCAGTACATCACAGTTACAGGTGGAGCTGCAGAAGCGGCAACAGGCCCATCATTGGGACACATACATTATATTAGATACAAGAGCTACAAGATTGGCCCAGGGCCTTCTGACCAAGGCACTTGGATATGAGTGGTAGGGCATAACTCATGACTATGTGACTGCCAGGACTGTCTATCAAGTACACATACAGGCAAGCCCCTGAGGGAGACTGCCCCTCCCTGGACTGGCTGGAGAAGGGGTGGGGGAGGTAGGGGGGCAGTAATCCACTCTCTAATGACCTCTGACTGAGGGCAAGACTGTTGTCATCCCTAGTGAATGGTCAGAAGGAATTCCAAACCCAAACCAAACTCACTGCCATCCAGGTGGTTCTGACTCACAGCGACCTCATTGGACAGGTTAGACCTGCCCCAGGGGCTTCCGAGATTGTAACCCCTTAAGGGAGTAGAAAGTCTCATCTTTCTTCTGTGGAGCGGCTGGTGGTTTCAAACTGTTGGCATGGCAGTTAGCAGCCCAATGTGTAACCACTAGACCACCAGTATTCTCCAGAAAGGATTCAGTGGAATCTTAATCCATGTGGGGACTCTTGAGTTTTGTTAAAAACTTGGTATTAACCCTGTCCTCAGAATCCCGCCCCACCCCCCCACCGCACATGCACAAAAATCCTTTGTTTTGAATGCATCCTGATGGACTAAGCTAAGTGTGTACTGTCAGAACTTGTCTGCAGCCATCCACTGATCAAAGACATGTTCAAATACATTTTGTGTGGAATAAACCCATGTACACATGAACTGGAACCCTAGTAGCAGTATTTTATGATGTACCCTATTGTTTCTGAAATGCTGTGCTTTTGGTAATTTGTCAGTATTCTCCTCCTAGTAAGATAACTTTGATCTTAAAAATTTTAAGTTATTTGAGAATTTAAGATGTCTATATCTTTTGAATTGATATGCAGTTAGAGCAGTTAGTTCTCTATAGCAGGAGTCCCAGGGTGGCACAAACAGCTAATGCCCTTGGCTGTTAACCAAAAGGTCTCCACCTACAGGCACCTCGGAAAAAAGGCCTGGCTGTCTACTTCTGAAAAATCAGCCAATGGAAACCCTACGGATAACAGTTCTAGCCTTATACACACATGGGGTCACAGTGAATTCTAATCAACTTGATGGCCACTGGATTTTTCGTCATAGAAGGTTGATGTAAGCACCATTGGCCAATTCCTGTCCCCATTCCAGCACCTCCTCTGCAGAGTAGCCACTTAATATGGGATACTGCAGGTGTCTTCTAAGACACAAACCCAAACTTACTGTCATCAAGTCAGTTCTGATGATATCGAACCCTATAGGACAGGTTAGAACTGTTCCTGTGGGTTTCTGAGGCCATAATTCTTTACAGGAGCACAGATCCTTATCTTTGTCCCTGGGAGTGGCTGGTGGATAAGAGCTACTGACCTTGGGTTAGCAGCCCAATGTATAACCACCAGCCTTCTACAGAAGTCTTGTAAATTGGGTGGAATTCCATTTGCAAGTGAGAAAACCTGCGGCCTGCTCAGCTCAGAGGCTGCCCAGGTCCTGTAGCAGAGTTTGCCTTTGTTTCTGGGGACTCCAGACACCAGCCTGCAGTCAGACTCCAGAATCTACCGCAGGCCATCCTGTTACCCGTCTACTGGACCTCTGGCCTCAGGCCTACCCTTCCCTGTCTACCCTCTACTATTGTCTAATGTTCATATCAAGTTCTAATCTGCCTGTCTGGAGAAAATAAAACAAAAAACTCACGGCAACCCTGTAGGTAAGGGGGTGGGGGTGGGCTTGGGTGAGGGGCAGAGGCAGAGAGGCCCCAAAGGGTTTCAGAAGCTGTCAACCTTTCCAGAAGCAGACTGCCACAGCTTTCTCCCTTGGAGCAGGTAGTGCGTTCTGCTTACCCTATTTCCCTGAAAGTAAGACATCCCCCGAAAATAAGATCTACTTACAGTTTTGCCTCGCTGAAATATAAGGCATCCCCCTGAAAATAAGACCTCCCCAAAAATAAGGCCCCCCGAAGCTACTGTAACTCTGGTCTCTGGACCGTAGCAGCGGGTGCCACCACGCAGCTCACTGTTGGCTGCAGCGCAGCCGGAGCAGACAGGAAGTGCGAGGTCTCTTTTAATAAAACAATAAACAATAAATGTGTATGGTATTCTTCGTGGGAAAATAAGACATTCCCTGAAAATAAGACCTAGCGCATCTTTGGGAGCAAAAATTAATATAAGACACTGTCTTATTTTTGGGGAAACAGGGTAGCAGCCAAGTGTGTAACCACTCCCCTGTTTGGAGGAAATGGGTCCTGATTTACTACCTACTGTCCTCCTGGCTGGTCCCTTCTAGTTCCTCAGCCACGTTTTCTTTCTTTCTTTTTTTTTTAAACAGTGTACATCCTCTGGTCTAGCCAGACTTGCAAGGTAGAATTCAGATCATGATAGTGGGGGTGGGGTGGGGGGAGGAAGCATTTAGGAACTAGAGGAAAGATGTATTTTTCATCAGGGTGCTACATCGCACCCTGACTGGCTCGTCTTCTCCCCAGACCCCTCTGTAAGGGGATCTCCAGTGGGCTACAAATGGGCTTTGGGTCTCCACTCTGCACTCCCCCCCTCATTCACCTTGGTAAGATTTTTGGTTCTGATGATGCCTGATACCTGATCCCTTTGACACCTCGTGATCGCACAGGCTGGTGTGCTTCTTCCATGTGGGCTTTGTTGCTTCTGAGCTAG